GTTAGATTAAAATTTGAAAGAGACCAACTCAGTCCAAAATTGTTCCAAATTCCTTCGAGAACAAAAGGTGGTGATATTTAATAACCTAAATTCTGGACAAATTGAGGAGATTAAAATTTGCTGCAGATTTTGAAGATGCTCATGTCAAGACTAACATGCATGTGGTTTCAGTCCAAATGTAATTTGGGTGGAAGGCAAAAGCAAAACATTTATTGGAAGCCTAATAAATATTGAAAAGGAACAACTGGTTATTGCCTGGAGCTTGGATGAAACAACATACTTTCACTGAGAAAATTTGGAAGGCAGACTTTTATTTTTAACAAAACAATACAGAACAATTTAATGAGACTGGATAAGAGTACAATAAAACAGGTCCAGTAGTGAAGTCAATAGTAATGGGAAAGGCACATAGCAACTGGATGCCATTCGGCCCTTTTAAACTAGACCCACCATTAATTTGGATATATACCACAATTTCATTCACCTATCTTATTTCTAGACAATTACCAACTAAAATCTTTCCATCTTATCTTCGAAAGCTCACATTGTCCCAGTGTCCAAAGCTTCTGCAATTAGCAGGTTTACTCAAATCAGCACAAATCCAACAAAAGAAACAGAACTCTTTTAGGAGCACAACTTAACATTTTCCAGGGAAGTTTCACTCCCAAGCTTTCTTGCATAAGCCAGGATTGATTGCCCCTTCGTTGAGAAAACTGACTATGGGAGAGATGTACGAAGGTTAGATTATAACCTTATCACTGTGAGCAATTCAAAACTGTTTTTTAAAAAAATATAGACAGCTCCAATGCAATTAAACTGGCAAACATAAGTGTCTCAAAGAGCACTCAGGATCAAGGATTTACAATATACGTGCAGTCTATGATACACCAACCTCCATGCTTACCTAAATCAAATTCAGGCCTTGACACAAAATAGCCTGGGTCTGGAATCAAAATTGCAACAAATCCTAGAAGCAGCATCACAGAAGCAAGCCATTAGCCCCATTTAGGTATTCATAATCCATACAGCTTACTCCTAGTCGAATTCCGCTTCTTTCCATAGTCCTATCGCCCTTCTCCCACACATATCAAGACTGCCTTTAAATGCACTAGTGCTGTTTCAATCACTCCATATATGTTAAACTGTAAGGATTGGACTTGCCTCCATATCTTCACTAATTCCAAGTAAGGAACTATCTACATTTTCCAAAACATACCAGCTGTTGTACTGCAAACTGCACTACTTTGTAATGTGCATTTGGGCTAATCTTTAAGTTGGCGAGAACAAGAGAGAAGCAAGTGTTATAATTTTTTTCCTTCCTCGCCTCACTCCCTGGGGAGCAGGGAGAAGGCAAAGGTCATGGGAATTTCTGTACTCGCACTAAAGAATTTTAGGCTGTGAATGGTTAGTTTTATTTTTTAATATGCGGACGCTCTCACTGATATATATTGCATGACTGATATGTGGAATAAAATCTGCCCCCACCACCCCATGCTGCTCAATAGTTTGACTCAAATCCAAAGTCCTTTGGGAAGGACCAGAGTGGTGTCAATAAGCTCTGTGCCAGTGATTACACTCCACACAAATCCCTCCCACCCTAATTCATCTAATTTTGTCAACATCGCCTTTCATTCCCTTTCCTTCATGTACTTGCCTAGCTTCCTCTTAAAATGTACCCTTGCTCTGTGCACCACCACTCCATGTGATGTGATAACAGACTCCCCATCCTTCCTACTCAAGAAAAGTGTGTCCTGAATTCCTCACTGGATTTGTCAGCCAATCTCATATTTATGGTCCCTTGTTTTGAATTTCCTGGAAGTGGAAACATCTTCTCTCCACCTACCTTATTGAACTTACAACTTTAAAGACCTCAGTTAGGACACTACAGAAAAGAATTCCAGTTTTAATTCAGCCACACACTATTAACCATATTGAAAGTAGGTCTCCCCTGAAAGGGTCAAGATTAAATTCCCAACTACTGAGACACAAGCAAGTGGGATGGTCTGTCATACAGTCTAGGCTTACAATCAAGAGAGTTTAATCTTAAACCCAAATGAACAAAAGGTGCCATTGTACAAAGATGACTATTTTCCTTGCTGGAAAACTATCCTCATGCCACCACCTGGAAACCAATTAACTGGTCATTGGTCCTGCACTCAAGACATTGCCATGCTGTAAACAACTGTCACATTTATTTATGCAACAAGCTGGGCTTCAAAATAACGGTCCATAAGATTGAGATGTGCACAAGGGTCCAAACAGTAAATGCACTGAATTTGCAAGTCTCTTACCTTGCTGTGCACAATTTGCTGATGTGTTTACCTACAAAACAGTAGGGACTAAGTATCACAATTCAGGCACATTTGTACATTTAAATAAGTCACTGTCAGAATAATGCCTTTTATCATCGGAAATCTTCAACTCAAAATTTGAAACTCCAATGTTTTTAGGCATTTTGGATGCAAATTGTCAAATTTAGAATACTACGAAGGTGCTGAATTCTTGGGAGCTTCATGGTGAATGTCTTATTGTTCATGCACGTTCCCTCCGACTCCCCCGAACACCCAATCCACTAAACCAACACAATTTATTACTTAGCAATGGTCCATTCTGTCATCCATGTTCTCCTATAATCATCAGCTTGACATGCTCCAGCACTTGTTATCAGCAAATGTTAAAGGACAAAATAATTTGGGTGCTTAGGTACAGAAATCACAAAAAAAAAAGCCAATGCACAGGTACAGAAATTGCACAAAATTCTGCATGGAAGATTGGAATTTAAGAGTTAGGGAGTCATCCTCCAGTTGTACAGAACTTGTTCAGATCCTATCTGTAGCACCGCATATAGCTTTGAGCACTACAACCCAGGAAGGACATACTGATCTTGGAAGGGCTAACACCAAACCTTAATGAGCTAGAGTGCACTTTACTCACAAGGTTAGAAGATTTGACATCTAATCTAGTAGAGTTAAAAGAATTCTCTAGCATCTTCTCATTCAGAGCGAAGGTCATTGACCTAATCATTAAGTGGGACTCCATAACACTCACTAATCTCATTCTAGATTACAGACTCCAGACAGTTACTCCCATCCCAGGTAAAACTAATCAGTCAACAATCGAAAGAACTGCAGGAACAAAAACAGAAGTTGCTGGAAAAGCTCAGCAGGTCTGGCAGCATCTGTTCTGAGGAAGGGTCACTGGACCCAAAATGTTAACGCTGATTTTTTCTTCACAGATGCTGCCAGACCTGCTGAGCCTTTCCAGCAACTTCTGTTTTTTGTCAACAAGCCCCTGACTCTCAATTTTAAGTAGTTCTTATACATTCAGTATTGTGGTACAGTTAGTTTCCAAGATTTTTTGGAAAAATAATACAAATCCTCCACTTTCAGTCCCAGTCATCAGCACTCTGGGATATATACCAGTCAGGTTTAATAACTTTCTATCCTTATTATAATCTGTGTAATTACACACTCTCAAGTCCCTCTTTAGTTCTATTCCCCACCCTTCCTTCAGCAGCCCCACTTTTACATTCCTCTAAAGCAGCAAGCTACTTCTGTAAATCAGCCATACCCCTCTTTAACATCATAATTTTGTTCCATTGTTGGAACCTTTCCTTTGCACCTTGATCCACTGTCAGTTACATAAAATTTGTAGCACAGAAACAGGTCTTTTTGCTTAACGGGTCTATTGTCCTCCAAGCAAAACTCTTCCCACATTATTACATTTTACACATCCTTCTGTTACTTTCTCCTTCCCTTCCTGTAAATGCTATTCAACTCAACCACTCCCAAATGGTGTGAGTTTTACATTCCCATTTGAAAAGATTTGGGTATATTTAAGCATTATTTTATTTATCTTGTCTGTTAATATAGTCCCTGGACTAGTTCACTGCTTAATCCCCCATTTTTCCCCTATTAATCCACCTACAACACACAAAATTGGTTTGGGGGGGTGGGGCAGTGGAGAGAGATTGGGGATAGTATTCCAGCTGTTGAAATGCTAATGATAATTTTTCCCAGGAATCTGTATTGCAGACTCAGTTTTTCATTTCCAGTGATTTGGGATGAAGGAATAGAGAGTTTTATACAGGGCCTGCAGACATACCATCCTCATTGTCCTCTTATTCATCCAGCTCGATGCTCCACAATGCACTCCCAATATGGTAACAGATCCTTTGTAATTCTATCCAGACAGTCTGCCTGAGCGCCAATTAAACTTTCCCTATGACTGTAACAGTCTTTTTTGATAATTGCTCCCCGCCCCATTCATTAACCTGACTAAGGACCCGGGTCAACTTTCTCCCCCCTATTTGGGGGTGGGGGTTGAAGACCACTGCTGTCCGAAGTGAATTAGCCAGCATCAACATCGCAGCTCCAAATATAAAACATCTTGGATGGAAGGATACCCAAATAAAAATAAAGGAATTAAAAAGCTAAAAAGTACACGCAGGTCATTCAATTAAAACCAAAACTTTTATACTCTACATTAGAGACTGAGCTAAAGTCCAGATACTTTGTTATAAAAGATACTGCCAGACCCGCTGAGCTTTTCCAGCAATTTCTGTTTTTGCTTTGGTTATCAATACTCGTTATGTTCACGTTGTCCTCAGTAACTCTTACAGTTTGACGTAAGAATATTATGATTGCCTCCAACGGGGCGTTCAACATGTTTACTGATGGCAGGAATAAGAGGGTGCAAATTTTCCTACTATATTTTTAAAAACCCTTACCAAGTTCAGTCAGGAAGCCTACCCCCGGGGCAGTTTAGAGACATATGGGAGGGCAGAGAGAGATACTGAAGTGGAGAGATTAGGAGGTGTCCTGTAAAGTTACTCCATTGTAAGTGACTGCTAGTTTTGGGATTCCCAGCTGTTAGCAGGAACGGTCCAAACCCAGTCTCTTCCCCCGGGGGGGTAAATCACCCACATCCTTCCTGCAGCCCCCCCCCAGGCGGTGACCCAGTGCTGTGTCTTCCCCCACCCCTACAGCCAATGCACTCACCCTGCCGTCCACTCCCTCGGTGTGCTGCCTCTCCTGGCCGCTCTCCTGCTCCTCACTCGGGCTGAGTTGGCCGGGCTCCTGAGCCGAGACGCCGCCTCCCATCTCGCGGACTTTCAGGGACTCACTCACTCGCTCAGACAGAGAGATCCTGGCTCGGCCTGTGGGCACAGTCCCGCAATCAGCTCGCCAAACTACTCAGCATTCACCATCCGAGCCCCCTCCCCGCTCAGTGCGCCATTACCACCAACAGCCCCCTCTCCCCTGGGGTCGGGCTGGACACTGTTCCCCTCCTCTCTCCCCT